TTACGAGACTTCCTTCTTCTACTTCTTCGTCTTCTACTACTTCTTCTTCTTCTTCTTCTTCTTCTTCTTCTTCTTCGGCTTCTTCTTCGTCTTCAGCTTCTTTTTGATCACACGATTCTACCTTCCCTTGCTCCTCTTCCTCACTCTCTGCTCTCTATGTTGATCCCTCCTTTCTATTCATTGGTTCGAATGTGGCATTTCGTAAAAACGAAACAATCAGATGGTTAACCCCTTTGAATCAACTCGTCCCTTAGATACAAATTTAATTTTTATTTAATTATTTTTATAAGATTATTACATTAGGCTACCTGTTGCCAAGCGCAAGGATGCCCCCGTGGCATTGTGATGCTTGTTGCACTTTTCCTAAGAGCTTCTTTTTACTAATTAGGCTTTCCTGAGAGGTTCCCTTTACTAATTAGGCTCCACACATAATAATCTCCCAATTAGAGACTGATTTGCAACCACCTCTTCTCCAAACCTTCACCATTTTCATAGTTGTGTACAGTAGTGTGGCTCACCCCTAGTCTTAATCTTCTTGAACTCTCACTGAAGTTAAGCATAGCTTTAGTTTCTCAATTGTAACCACCTTAGTTAACATATCTGCAGGATTTTGAGCTGTATGTATCTTTTTCAAAGAAAATTGATCATCTTTTAAAATAGAACGAATAAAATGATATCCCAGTTGAATGTGCTTCATCCTGCATGAAAAATGAGATTTTAGCCAAATGAATAACACGCAAACTATTACTATGACATTTTTCAATCCCTTACTTAACCATCTCTACCATAAAGCTCTTCTGTCAAATCATTTCCGTGATAGCCTCAGTGATACCATAAAGCTCTTCTGTCAAATCATTTCCGTGTTGTTTCTCATGTTGAACCTGTGTAGGATATTCACAACATATTATGCCTGAGACAATTTCACCGTACCTGCACCTACACTTCTGTCTCATATTGAGGATCTTCTTAGTCTGACCAAAATCCTTCATCTCAAAACTCCCTTAATAATTGCTCATTCAAGTCCCTGAACTTCTTTGTATCTGTTTTTGCAATCATCATATCATCCACCCACAATAAAAACACGATATAACAATTACTAAATTTTTTTTATGAAACAACAGCGATCTTGGAAGTACTTGTTATCTGACATAAACCTATCAAATTTAATGTACCACTGTCTTATGATCTACTTCAAACCATAAATACTTTTCTACAATCTGCAGACTATACCATTTGTTCCTGAAACTTTATATCCATGTGGCTACACCATATACAACTCTTTTTCTATCACCATGCGAGAACGTTACTTCAAATCTATCTGCTCCAGATGTAGATTTTTCTCTACTACCAAACTCAACATAACTCTAATAGCTGTCATCTTCACAACTGGATAAAATATCTTTAAATAGTCCACTATTTTATTTTATTGAAATTCCTTTACAACAAGTCTTACCTTGTAGCGTCTGCTACCATCTGACTCTTTTTTCAGCCTGTATATATGCTTATTGCGAAGTGTTTTTTTGTCAATTGGTAGTTCAACCAAATTTCATGTCTAATTTGACTTCAGTGAATATATCCGTCATTCATGGCAAACTCTCACTCCTTTGATTCTTTAACTCGAATGGATTATTTATAGCATTCTGGTTCATCATTATTAGTTAACAAAAGATATTACAAAGAAAAAAAATATCTTTGTATCGATCGTGTAACTCTCCTGGAGCTCCTGACTTCAGTAGCAGGTGACTAAGGAGCTTCATGTGCTTTACTAGATTGAGCACATATCATTTCTCCATTTTTTTTATCACCAATGTCTTCTATCTGAACATATTTAGAGGGAACAATCCTGAATTAAGCTCTTATCCCTGTATATTTCCATTTCATCAAAAGTAACATCTCTACTCCTGATGAATTTATGATTCTAATAATACCAGAATTTGTACCTAAATTCTTTCGAGTCATACCCAATGAAAGTACACTCAACTGATTTTGAATTGAGCTAGTACGCTCTGTGATGGTTCTATTCATGCACTCAGTCACACCATTTTGTTCTGGCGTATTTGGACTAGTGAACTCATATTTGATTCATTCTAATGCATAACAACTCTTGAACATCTAATCATGATGCTCGCCACCATTATCAGATTTGAGACGCTTTAATCTAAAATTTGTCCCATTCTCAACAATGGTCTTCCACTTCTTAAACACTTCAAATACATCATATTTTTATTTCAAGAAGTACACTTATACCCTCTGGTGTGATAATCAATGAAAGTGATGAAATATTAGGAACCTCTAATAGAATGAACTAGAGTAGGACCTCATATATCAATATGCACGAACTCCAGTTCTCCAGACTTCACATTTGACCAACTTTTGGAGACAGTAACCTTCTTTTGCTTGTCATAGACACAATCTTCACAAAAAAAAGTAGCTCTATAGACTTTAAACCATGAGCTCATTCTTAGAAAGTAAAGACTTCATATATTTCTCGCTTATAAGGCCAAATTTGCGGTGTCAAAGGCCTACATCAATCTTTATTCCAGTTACATTAATGAATACAGGCATCTTATTGATCAGATAAGAGTGTCTTCAATATTGCCCTGAGCCATCGCCATTGTCCCGTTGATCACCTTCCACGAATCACCTGTGAAAGTAATCACATGCCTTGACTTTACAAACAAACTCACTAAGATTAAATTTCTCTGTAAACATAAAACATGTCTAACTTAATTAAGCTTCCAAACTTTCCATGTAACTTGATATCCACATCACCTTTTCCAACAATAATGTCGGTTTTGTTATCTCCCAAATACACCTTTAAATCACTCTGAGTATAATTTTTAAACACATCTTTGTTTGGGCACGCATGAAAAGAGATTTATTATCCAAGATTCAATATTATCTAGGGATAAAACTAGAAAATCACATTGGATATCATTTGCGAAGATATTTGTAAGGAGTTTCCTATCAGGACTTTAGAGTTTTGCAGTTCTTCTTGAAGTGATCTTTCCTCCTGCAGTTTCGACATTCACCTATGTATTTTTCTCTCCCTGAACTAGACTTTCATCTCCTAGACTTGAACCATTCCCTGCCTATGTTTCTATCCAGATTCCTTCCTATGTTTTCAACATTTAGTGCAAAATTTGAAGTTTCACAGCTCACCTTCTTGCGAACTTCATTCAGTGCTAACCTCATTATGTCATCAAAGTTTAGTTTCATGTTACCTGAAGAGTTGCTCACCGTAGTAATTAGTCCATCCCAATTATCTAGCAATGAAGATAAAAATAACAGTGTCCTGACCTCGTCATCGAACTTGATACCCACATAATACAATTAATTTATCAACAATGTTAAAAATATTCAAATATTCAGCCACCGAACTATTACCCATCATCTTCATATTAAACAATCTCTTTATCAAAAAAAAATTATTTGAAGTCAAGGGCTTATCATACCTCATCGTTAATACAACAATCATATCTACAAAAATTTTCTCATTCAAAATATTAAAAGCAACATATGAGAAAAGTGAGAGTCTGATCAAACCTAAAACTGTTCGAACAAGTACTTCTCATTCTTTCAGAGTCATTGATTTAAGCTTCTTGGTGTTTCCTTCTAGTGACAAATACAACTTATTTTAATAATGTAAATCTTCAATTTGCATTTTCCAGAATCCAAAGTTTGTACCATTGAACTTCTCCACCTTGTATCTTGCTTGGTCAATCATTGCTCCCACTCGAATCAAAGGTCTTCACAAAATTCCGCTCCATTATAACCTATTATGAGGTTAAGATAAATGTGGAACACAGATTCGAGAGATCTGTAATAAAATATTTGAACACAAGCACACAAAACAGGTAATTCCAGAAAAAGATGCAAAACATATCAAAATTCAATATGAAAAATCCTAGAACTAAAAACAAAAACACAGAGTCACCACACCAAGAAATTTACTATGAAATGAGGAGAAATTGTATAAATTACAAATTTTAGTCTCTCTACTCTGTTGGAACTCACAAACGCTCCTCTCCTTTCTGTATCACACAAGAAAAATCACAAAAACCCAACACCAACTCGCAGTACCGCTTTGCACTATATGCACGCACCTACTATAGTAAAGCACAAAACTTGAAGTCTTGAACTGCTTGTGTCGAGTTTCCTGTCGCTCTATTACGGAATGTTGGAAACGAGTCTTCCGGGTGCCTAAGCTCCCCTACTGGTGCGGGCTTCCGTTTGAGAAACTTTGGTTGGGCGCATGCTCTGGCGTTGGGCTGCCCGCTACTAGGCGTAGGGGTGTCCCCTAGGCTTGTGTTAGCCGCTACACTGTTCATAGGTGCTTTTCCTTGCCTATTAGGATCCCCACATAACAGCGGTCATAGCATAAGATTTCCTATTGCCTTGTGGTTTGTTCATACAATTAATTTAAATATGACCTGCATTTAATATCTCTAGTTCAAGATAAAAGTTTTAGTGCCCATTTTTGTAGTAGATTTCAGGAGTTTTTTTTATTTTATATAGTTAATTTAATTGATCAATATTTAACTCCAACCTATGCGACTGTAATGTACTAGCAGTTCAAATTTAATCTTTGAATAGCAGCTTCACTTCTTGCTTTGTTTCGTATGAGTTGCATACCCCACTGGACTATATTTGTTATTGAGATAAACTTTGTTAAGGCCATTGTGGTTTAACAATCCACTTTCAAAATCAACATTACTTTCCGATAATTATTAAAAAATAAGCAAAAAATACCTTTATGCATCCAGCAAGTTATATTTGCAATGATAATACTAAATCCTAGATAGAAAAAGAAAACTGATAAAACTTCTTTTTTTTCCTTATGCTTATCTTATGTATTTAAAGCAAGCACCAACATGGAAGTGAAAAGCTGAAGAAAACACAAATTTTCATGGTAAATAATTTCTACAAAAGCACGCAAATTTGATGAAAACAGGTAAAATGGGATGGCTTTAAATTAGAAGTGTCAAAAGCATGCATACATTGTTGTTACACTTGAAGCGTCCAGTGGGTACCAGAACAGAGCTTTTCCCAGACTTTGAAGAGAAAGGTAGACGAAAACAGCGGTTTCGAGAATAGACAGCAGTATCAAGAAAAGGATGGTCGGCTAAATCAGTACAACATGAATCTTTCTTAATATATAATTTGTTAACTCGCGGATCAATTTTCCTCAAACTTGTAATTCGCGAGCAAATCTGAAAGCATGAAAATATTGCATTAAAAGTCTGTTTAAGGAAACACATAAAAGGCCTTAGATATTATTATACCTCACTAATCCAACAATATATAAAGAACTTCCTAGTACTCTGCCTATTTATAATTACAGTGCTATGGCACTCTGCCTCACTTCTGCAAATAATATGTGAAGAACTTCACGACACACCGCCCATTTATAATTAAGCATCTCGTGCCACTCCACCTCACTTCTGCCTCAAATCACAAATGTAATCATAAACATAATAAATATGTCAGGAATAAGATTTTTATGGTATAGTACTGGAATAAGATACAGTAGCAAATGATTAGGAAAAAATTATAAAGGTTAAAAGTTGCAGAATCATATTGATTAAATCACAACAAGAGAGAATATGGATGAACTGAATTGTACAAACACGGAAAAGACTTCTCAGTAGATTTTACATGCAGTTCTACATTCACAAACTTGATAGTAAACTTAACGGTCATTAATAATAAAAAGATACTTTTCAGCATAGTACAAAAAAAAAAGCTTTAAGTGTGTTATCTTATTTAGTAGTTCTTATAGAAAAAAATTATTTGAAAACTGGATTGTTCATTGCAAGTAACGGTAACTATTTCTTTATAGAAGCATTATAAATAATGAAGTAACAACAAGAGAAAGATATCACGCGAGATTCAAACCAACTTACCTCAGAAACAAAAGCACCAACATGTGAGTTATTTTTGAAGGCAGCCTTCGGAAGACGGATGATCAAATGACGTGAGAACTTTTCTACCAAATATCCAAAATATTTTAAGTAAATTTTAAAATTTCATTTAAAATGTATGACTACCAGAAAACTGAACATATCAAATAAATACAGAGTCAAAGTGGGCAGAATAACTGGCATAACAAAAAAGTTTTATATTAGCATGCATGATGGTAGGCAACTGATTATCAAAAGCACCCTTAAGGACTTCTAAATGTGTAAATTCAAAAGTATGAACAATTATGATTGATGCCTCACAAGTAATTTAGACTAGCTAGCAAAAAAAGTAGGAAGAATGCTCTCGTCAAAAAAATCCCATAGTCAACATGTTGGATCTATAAAGACTCGGCCCAAAGCTTAAAATTAATCAAGACATGAACAGACAGTCGAACTGTAATGCTAAATTTTCTATTGTTCTAATTCTATTCCTAATAATTTAATATCCAAATATTAATTAAAAGAAATCACTAAAGAAAGTATTTTAATTAATAATTAAATATTCACTTTTCCAGATGTTGAACTCATCTTTCCATCGGTTCATTTTCTATTCATTTTATCTAAAAATCAAAAACCTAAAAATATTAAAATAATATAATGTTACGTAAGAAAATCCGGTGGAACAATCATAATAAGTTATCTAAGATAAACCAGTCAAGCAGAAATATTAATGATCTTTAAAATAATATAATGGGTATATAATATATATATATATATATATATATATATATAGTATT